TTATATACAATGAGTGAACTTAAAGTAGTACACTTCTTACAAATAAAATCTTACAAGTTAATCTCGTTGAGATTTTGTCAAGATGCATCCTCGACATTACAATCTAGATGATAATACATTCGTCGCGCGGAAAAAGGATCTCTACAGCAAACATAGATACAAAGAAAAAACAGCTGACAAATATCGAAGTCTCCTTTTGAATATCATCGTATTCTTTTATGTCCCTCAGTATTTCGTAAAAATAAAGCGTAATAGATTACGGTACTCCATCATGATATTAGGATGGAAAAATTCGGCAGTATGAATTAATTGTTAAGACGTTTAGATCTTTAATCCTTAGGTATAATTAATTCGGTTGGATATATCAACGTATACTAATGTCAGTTATATAAAAGTCTACTTAAGTTCAAATATAAAAGCATGATGCAAGCGCTTTGATTAATGAAATGTCTAAGCTGCATTCTATCAAGCAACGCGATAATTTGTACTTTAGCATCTAGTGCGTCTGACCATTTATTATGTATACATCTTTATATTTATGCCATGACAGTTCTTAATATGCAGTATGCGCTAGTATATATCCAACTGAATTTATCACTAAAAGTCTTAATTCTCAGATTGTATTGGATTGTAGGATCCAATTAGCTGCTTTGAAAACTTTGAACACTTGATTTATTTGCTATAGCATTTGAGCAATTTCAACTTAAACGTAGGGACTTGAGTCATTCATAAAGAGATGAGATACGCTAGTAAAAGAACAAACAATATAAATCGTCTAATAATACTTTCAAACTCATCAACATACAGTCCAAACACTTTACGAGTCGTAGATCGTTTATAGAAACGCGAGATAAAAAACTTATTTGGCACAGCGACGAATATTAACATATGTCTAATTATTCATGAGATAATCATAAACACAATCCGAAGTGTTGTTGCAACTTTCATACAAATCGATTTAATTAATTAATTTGAATCAAAGTTGAAAATAAATATAAATTTGCCTAAAGATTCTTAAAAATTAAAAACAAATTTTAAATAATTAATGAATGATGTAAATAAATTCGAAAAACAATTTTTAAAAAAATTCCGCGTATTGATATCATACAATAAATTAACATTTTTGTTTAAAGCTAATGATTTTCCAATGTTAATAAAAAAATAATGCGTTTAGTTATGCTTTGCATTATAAACTGAGATATAACACTTAGAAATTCGGGAATTCCTATCAGCGATCATGCGGCTGTCTTACTAGCTGAACTTACACATTTTAACATCATTATAAAAGTCACGATATCGTATGTGTTTTACCTCCACATACATATCGAAAAATTCTCTTACTTTCTTAACTGCACATTAAGTTACAAAGAGTTATAAGGTTCAAGAAGCAAAGTAAAATATTGAGAAAAGGACATTAGTTTGTTTTCGTCTAAATGTTTTTTGAAAAGATTTAACTCGTCATGTATAATTTACCTGATCGTTCAACAAAAAAAAAAAATAAAAAAGTACGTATATCTTCGTGAACAAATGCAGCTGTGGATTTAAACGTAGGCTTCAGTGCGATGACCTCGTATGTGATGGAAGAACTGCTGCCAACTGGTAAGCGTCTTCTTAGACCATACCCAGAAGCTGCTAGTAATGCCCACAATCATCGCCATGAGGTATTTGATCATGAAAATCTCGAAATCGGGTTTACGACCAAGATCGCGAATGCGCTCGCCGAGAGGACACGGCAACGAGTAGAGTACCTGCAGACCCGGTCGTGAGCACATCTCTAAGTTCCATGTAAGCATCCATTGATCGAAATACGCTTGCTCATAGAAAAGGCAGGCGATTACGACTAGAGCAGGTACAATGTAGAGCACAGAAAAGATGCCGATGCGAATCATGAGTTTCTCGAGTTTATCAGTCTTTGTGCCGTCATGCTTCATCACCGTTCGAATGCGGAAGAGCGAGACGAAACCTGCCAGCAGGAACACAGTGCCCAATAAAAGATAAACGCATAGCGGTGCCAGCACAAAACCCCGAAGAGCCTCCACGTTCCAAAGACCAACGTAGCAAACTCCGGACAATATATCACCTACAAATTAAATTAGAAAAATATAATTTATATAAATATATATATA